GATACTTAATTTACTTATTTACTTTATTGATCATTATGTATTTTTTCTACAATTTAGTATTTCACCACTGAGAAGGTAGTATTTTGTCCCGATATCTGTGCGGATATTCCTTGGTTGGATGAAATCTATCCCTCGTTTCGTTATGCAATTGCCGGCACTATGTTCTGTTGTTCTACCGATTATATAAGACAAACCAATAATTTGCCAGGATTTCCCATTGAGATTTTGATGGCTGCACAAATTGAAACAACAATTTCGTCAGTTGAAACAACAACTTTGCAAGTAGAGACAACAACTTCGCAAGTGGAAACAACAACATTAGAATTGTCTACCGACATTTATTAAACTTAATCTTTGAAATTTACAGACAAAATTCTACATCAATGTGTGAAAATTCAAACATCTAAGCTAAAAACGATCATATATGGATCATATATGAATCATATATGGACCATATATATTCTTATATGTTCATATCCGAAAAATGGCGATAAATGATCATGTCATATATGGACACACATATGGAATCAATGGAAATATATGAACAAATATGGAAATATATGGAGATTATGCCCAATTCCGCCAATTTTCGGATATGAACATATATGAAAATATATGCTTCATATATGAATCCATATATGATCCATACATATTTTTTTTTAGCTGGGATACAAATATGTTATCAATTGCCTCAAAGTGGTTAAGAAAATGTTATTTTTGGAAATAATTCGGTATCTCGGGAACTATTGGAGATATCGAAAGGAAGCTGAAGTGTTATAGCTGAGGTGTTTTCAAGTTTATAGACATTTATAGGTGATCGTCAGCCAGTGAGTCACCTGGGGTATAACATATACATATTTCTTAAAAAAGTCGCCAAAAAAATCTTTATAATCGGAATGTGTCGAAATTAAAAATACATGTGAGGCAAAATTACTCTACCAAATTGTATGTGGATCGGTCCAGAATTGACCTTACCCTCCATGTAAGGCCCACTTCAGAAAACTAATTACTGTCTTTAAAAACGAATATAGCGATAAAATTAAGTTAAATGAGAGGCAAAATTACTTTACCAAATTTTATGTGGATCGGTCCAGAATTGACCCTATCGCCATATAAGGTCCCCTTCAGAAAATGACTTAAACGCTCGCTGGATTACAAAAGCGGATTGATAACCATTTTTACGGACAGTCAGAATGCAATTAGGGAGATATCAGGATAACAATTTAAATCTAAAATCGTATTGCACTGTAAGAGAGAATTAAACGGATGGTAGGAGAATCACTTAAGGCAACTTGGAATAACGAAACGGTGGGTAGAACAACAAGGACGTATGGGGTAACCCTAAGTAGGGCAGGATGAGAATTATCCCCAGAATGAGTAAGTCTGAAGTTATTATAATGATACATATTATGAGAGGACACACAGGATTATAAGCCGAACTATACATATTAGACGAAAGAATTCAGACGCATGCAGAGCATGTGGAGAGGACAGTGAAATTATGTAGCACTTTCTTTATCATTGTCAGGCTGTAGTCGAAATTAAACCCAAATATCTTTGGAGTTATTTTATTCCTGATATAATGACACTCACAAACACTAATTGAAAAATTCATGGCTATTATGTCCAGGAAAGGGACCTAATTGGACACAAGTAAAGCTATACTCGTAATAGTATACAGTCTGCTGAACCTAACGTAAAATAAATTTATTATTTTGAATATCGAGTGATTCCATCAAACAATACCAAACAGTCAGACATACTACTAAAAAGAACATATTAGACTAGACCAGGACAGAACAGTAGTATATAGATTAGACATGGGAGATATTTAGTCTGTATAGTAGCCCAACGAGTAATTCATAGAGTAGTATATACACTAGACGATAGAATAGTCTATAGGCTAGATAATAGATTAGTCTACAGATTAGACAATAGGAAAGTCATTAGACTAAACCAAAATGTAGTAAAAAATAACCTCTTTCATGTTTCTATACAAAATAAGAGAAAATAAACAAGAATTCTATTTACGAAGTTTAGTAAAAAACTTGACCGAAGTTGATAGTTCTTTGACAACAATTTTTGGTTACATCGTTAGTAGTTAGTTAGTCAGTTAGTTAGTTAGTAGTAGTTAGTTAGTTAGTTAGTTAGTTAGTTAGTTAGTTAGTTAGTTAGTTAGTAGTAGTAGTTAGTTAGTAGTTAGTTAGTTAGTTAGTAGTAGTTAGTTAGTTAGTTAGTTAGTTAGTTAGTTAGTTAGTAGTAGTTAGTTAGTTAGTTAGTTAGTTAGTTAGTAGTTAGTTAGTTAGTTAGTAGTTAGTTAGTTAGTAGTTAGTTAGTTAGTTAGTTAGTTAGTTAGTTAGTTAGTTAGTAGTTAGTTAGTTAGTTAGTTAGTTAGTTAGTTAGTAGTTAGTTAGTTAGTTAGTTAGTTAGTTAGTTAGTTAGTTAGTTAGTTAGTTAGTTAGTTAGTTAGTTAGTAGTTTAGTTAGTTAGTTAGTTAGTTAGTTAGTTAGTTAGTTAGTTAGTTAGTTAGTTAGTTAGTTAGTTAGTTAGTAGTTAGTTAGTAGTTAGTAGTTAGTTAGTTAGTTAGTTAGTTAGTTAGTAGTTAGTTAGTTAGTTAGTTAGTAGTTAGTTAGTTAGTTAGTTAGTTAGTTAGTTAGTTAGTTAGTTAGTTAGTTAGTTAGTAGTTAGTTAGTTAGTTAGTTAGTAGTTAGTTAGTTAGTTAGTTAGTAGTTAGTTAGTTAGTTAGTTAGTTAGTTAGTTAGTTAGTTAGTTAGTTAGTTAGTTAGTTAGTTAGTTAGTTAGTTAGTTAGTTAGTTAGTTAGTTAGTTAGTTAGTTAGTTAGTTAGTTAGTTAGTTAGTAGTTAGTTAGTTAGTTAGTTAGTTAGTTAGTTAGTAGTTAGTTAGTTAGTTAGTTAGTAGTTAGTTAGTTAGTTAGTTAGTTAGTTAGTAGTTAGGTTAGTTAGTTAGTAGTTAGTTAGTTAGTTAGTAGTTAGTTAGTTAGTTAGTTAGTTAGTTAGTTAGTAGTTAGTTAGTTAGTTAGTTAGTTAGTTAGTTAGTTAGTTAGTTAGTTAGTTAGTAGTAGTTAGTTAGTTAGTTAGTTAGTTAGTAGTTAGTTAGTTAGTTAGTTAGTTAGTTAGTTAGTTAGTTAGTTAGTTAGTTAGTTAGTTAGTTAGTAGTTAGTTAGTTAGTTAGTTAGTTAGTTAGTTAGTTAGTTAGTTAGTTAGTTAGTTAGTTAGTTAGTTAGTTAGTTAGTTAGTTAGTAGTTAGTTAGTTAGTTAGTTAGTTAGTTAGTTAGTTAGTTAGTTAGTAGTTAGTTAGTTAGTTAGTTAGTTAGTTAGTTAGTTAGTTAGTTAGTTAGTTAGTTAGTTAGTTAGTTAGTTAGTAGTTAGTTAGTAGTTAGTTAGTTAGTTAGTTAGTTAGTTAGTAGTTAGTTAGTAGTTAGTTAGTTAGTTAGTTAGTTAGTTAGTTAGTTAGTTAGTTAGTTAGTTAGTTAGTTAGTTAGTTAGTTAGTTAGTTAGTTAGTTAGTTAGTTAGTTAGTTAGTTAGTTAGTTAGTTAGTTAGTTAGTTAGTTAGTTAGTTAGTTAGTTAGTTAGTTAGTTAGTTAGTTAGTTAGTTAGTTAGTTAGTTAGTTAGTTAGTTAGTTAGTTAGTTAGTTAGTTAGTAGTTAGTTAGTTAGTTAGTTAGTTAGTTAGTTAGTTAGTTAGTTAGTTAGTAGTTAGTAGTTAGTTAGTTAGTTAGTTAGTAGTTAGTTAGTTAGTTAGTTAGTTAGTTAGTTAGTTAGTTAGTTAGTTAGTTAGTTAGTTAGTTAGTTAGTTAGTTAGTTAGTTAGTTAGTTAGTTAGTTAGTTAGTTAGTTAGTTAGTTAGTTAGTTAGTTAGTTAGTTAGTTAGTTAGTTAGTTAGTAGTTAGTTAGTTAGTTAGTTAGTTAGTTAGTTAGTTAGTTAGTTAGTTAGTAGTTAGTTAGTTAGTTAGTTAGTTAGTTAGTTAGTTAGTTAGTTAGTTAGTTAGTTAGTAGTTAGTTAGTTAGTTAGTTAGTTAGTTAGTTAGTTAGTTAGTTAGTTAGTTAGTTAGTTAGTTAGTTAGTTAGTTAGTTAGTTAGTTAGTTAGTTAGTAGTTAGTTAGTTAGTTAGTTAGTTAGTAGTTAGTTAGTTAGTTAGTTAGTTAGTTAGTTAGTTAGTTAGTTAGTTAGTTAGTTAGTTAGTTAGTTAGTTAGTTAGTTAGTTAGTTAGTTAGTTAGTTAGTTAGTAGTTAGTAGTTAGTTAGTTAGTTAGTTAGTAGTTAGTTAGTTAGTTAGTTAGTTAGTTAGTTAGTTAGTTAGTTAGTTAGTAGTAGTTAGTTAGTTAGTTAGTTAGTTAGTTAGAAGAAGTATGCCATTATCGGGCCTGTTGTGCGCTCCCAAAGCTTAAAACAATTATAATTCCCCGGCAATAAATTCATCAGACGATATCTCAGCAAATACAAGAGATTTTTGAATAATTCAAAAAGATTTTTATGGGGAAAAATTATGACACATTGAGACTTATAAGTTTGTTTTTGTAATTTTATGCTTGCTTAAAGGTTTAGTTTAGTTTTTACGACACGATATCTCAAATGTCATGGAGAAATTCTGAGACCAGATTCGGATTTCTCAGATACTCAGTCCGGGTTACAAATTTGTTGTCCTATGTTATTATATCAAAAGAGAAATAAATTAAAGAAAATTAACTCATTTGTGTAACATATTAGTTTTGATGATCGAATTGTACCAAAAAAGTGCAATTTTACCAATTTTGCCAACCCTGATACTAGCCATCGCTTGAGTGTATTAAGAGTGTAATAAAAACAACAAATTTTTTATTGACCATCGAACTCATGTTCTCTTTCAAATGTGACAATTAATGATTTCATATGTAAATGAGTATTTATGTTTTTCTGTTCATATAACGATAAGTGAATGAGTTATTCCTTATTTGGAATTTAATTTCTTGGAGTTGCGGTTAACATGCCCGATAGTGTTATCACAGCGAAGTGAGTGAATATTTTTTGTTTAATTATAAAAGTCTGAGTTTGATATTAAAATTCCAATTAGTTCTGTTATAGTGCTCCGAACAAAAGGATGTCTAAATTGAAAATATTAAATTTAATAAGTTTTGTATTGTTGATGGCATATTTGCCCAGCATACAAAGTGATTGCGTTATACAATATCCCACGGATGAAGATACTTTACCGAAATATGAAAAAGTTATTGGAAAATTTAAAATACGTGTACCCTACAATGGAAATCCTATAAAATTATATGATGGTGAAACAATACATGTACATTGTGATACATTTTTAAAGTAAATGATTTGTGTAGTTAAAAGAAATTAAAATTTTTTATAGTAAAATTAATTTTTTCTTTATATTTTTTCAGTTCCATCAACTATCAGACGAAAGAAAGATCTTCTACATATGATTATCATTATGGCTATAGGGAAGTTGTCGTTGATAAATCAATTTTAAATAAGAATTCAATTACTTTAAAATGTCGTAATAACAAGTTAGTTTATGATAATATAGAACTTTCTCAGAATAAATTTTCATGCATGCATCGCAACTGGACTATCTATTCCACAAAGCAGCCATACACTTGGTGTCAAAATAATCAAAATTCCAGTACATTTTTATTGGCGACCAAACCATCTACGGATAATTTTGTATTGGCTGCAATTTGTTATAATATGGAACAAATCGCTTTGCAAACTGTAGTTTATAATGTTTCAAATTTACGACGGAATTATTTGAATCAGGTTAGTATATATTGTTAACTGACACCGAAATTTTTTCGTAGCTCCCATACAAGGTCCTCTTTAGAAAATCATTACATGGACAAATTTCATTATTAATTGATAATATGGAAATAAAGTTCGTCATTAATGTGTTTTGTGTATATATAGTTCCGCCTTTTATATCGAATTGGCCCACTATTAGTCATAGCTCCCATATAAGACCATCATTGTTCGATAATCTATATAAATAAAAGAGTAATTTTCGCAATAAATAAACTCGGAAACTACGGTTACTAATAACATTAAATTTCAAATATATGTTACAGGGGCCTTGAGAAGTATTTATATGTGTATTTCACCGATAGAGTCGTATGAATTGGAAATTCATAGATCTGTACGTGGAGGGAAATATGGGTTAAAATTAGGGACGAAAACGCGGACCAGGTTTGCCAGTTGTTAAAAAAATAGTTTTAAAGTTCTGGTATAAGGACAATATATTCGACAAAGATTATTGGATTTAAGAAACTAGAGTTCAGTCAATAACTGCAAAATTTTTCGAAATTATATATAATTATACCAAGAGGACAGATTCTTTCCAAATTCATAACCATAATCTGAATATTGAGTATATAAGCAAAAACTATTCATTAAATTTAATAAATTACTTTAATGATCGTATAGCCAATGGACGTGCGCACCACCAATATGATTCCCAGTGAGTATTTAGATGAAAATCTTTGGAATTTAAAATTTACCACTCTCTCAGATTTAAGGTATGAAATTTTAAAAAAAAATAAACAAAAAACAAATAACAACAATTTCATTTTATAGTGGCACTTTATTAAAGGAAAAATTAACTAATTTGGCTAAAACTGATAGATGGCTGAGTTTAGCAAACTACGAAGTATCTTCAATTGTACAGGATGAAATGTTAAAAAAATATTTCAAAGAATATGATAACTTATTAAATATTATTTGGTGGCGTAACCTGCGTTTGGGTAATTGGCAACGTTTTTTAAATACTTTGAAAAACTATGCTTATTCTAATAGTTTTGAAATATATACCGGTACATCGGGCGTAGCAGAATATCCAGCCGATGACAAGTGCCATAAAGAAAGACGATTGGAAATGAAAGTAAATATAGAGCAGGCATTTAAATGATGAGAAATTTGATTTTTTTATATTTTATTTTTTTAGTTTGGTTTTAAAAATGAGACCATACCTGCCTATATATGGACTTATTTGAAATCGTATGATAATTTGAATCAAGAATTTATTATTGTTGGTTATAACTCACCCTATGCTGAGGTAGGATGGATGCATACATACATAAATTAATTTTTATCTCTTTTAGCTGGTATTTTTATTCAATATTTTTATGATCTAGTATTTCACCACTGAGAATGTAATATTTTGCCCCGATATTTGTGCAGAGATTCCTTGGTTAAATGAAATTTATACCTCCTTTCGTTATGCATATGCGGGCATTATGTTTTGCTGTTCAACAGATTTCATAAGACAGACCAATTACTTGCAGGGATTTCCCATGGACATTTTGTTGTCTTCACATTTGGAAACTACAACTACAGAAGTGGAAACTACAACAATAGATTGGGATATCACTACTTATTATTAAATATTTTTTTATATGTTTATTTATTTGAATTAAACAATAAATATTAATCTATATCTTTATATATACAAACTAGCATACCCTGGGTGCTTCGCTACCCTAACTTAAATTAAATTCATACAAAATTTTGTTTACTTTTATAGAAAATTAAAATTGATTAAAAATTTTTTTAATGTTTCAGTTTTTTACGTTCAATATCACGTGAATAAATTCGCATTTAGTAAGAAGCTTATATTTTTAGTTTCATTCGTTTAGCTTCCACATTTTAGAAAATTTCGAAAGTACTATTTGAAAAAAAGGACTATAAAATACCTCATTTAATTAAAAAAATGTATGTTTCTGTGATCAATATTATATACAATTCAAAAAATATAATTTGATGAATAAAAAAGTACCAAAAGTCCCTTTCAGTAGATTCTCATTCACTAAGGTCCCAACATTTTAAATTTATTATTTCAAAAAGTACCATCGGAAAAACGAAAAAGTACAAAAATCTCTCTCAATAAATTCTCATTTAATAAGGACTGTGTGTCATGTGTTCCGGTTAACAATTTGAAGAATGGAAAAGTACCAAAGAGTTTCTACGTACAGGATATTATTCAGTAAAGACCATGTATGTTAAATTTTATTTTATTGACATAAAAAGTACTAAAAACTTCTCTCAAGTGTTTTGAATTAATATTATGGAACATACAAAGAGTATTATTTGAAGAAAAAAAAAAGTACCAAAAGTGGAATAAATTCTACCTTAGTGGAAAGTACTAATAAAAAAAATTCCTCTTTTCGCTTAGAAATATATTTTTTCTAGAATTAAGTTTACAAAATGTTCCGTATTTAAATTTATATATCACAGATAAAACTCAAACGAATCAAATCTGCATTAATTTGAGTTTAAATAAAATTAAATTTCCCATTTTTTCCCTATTTGGTACTTTTTTTTTCCCTGTGAAATAGTAAAAATTTTGTTACAATAAATATTACAGAGTTAGTCCGTAATTTAATAGGAATAATTCAATAAACTGAAAAAGTTTTCTTAATGTGCAAAAAAAAAGTACCATAAATATAGTTTTCTCCCTTTTAGACCCCAAAAGGACTGAATTTTAAAAAAGTACGAAACAGGTATCTCCTAATTTTGGGAGATGTATCCAAAATATTTATAAAAATTTTATTATGTTAATTAGTTGAAAAGTTATGAAGGGCAAAAAAAGTACCAAAATCACCTTTGTTACACATTTTCACCCATTAAAAGTACGAATTTCAAAAAAGTACCAGACACCCATCAGCTTATTTTAAGAGCAGATACAGGTGCACTTACAATTTTTCTTGTATCACTAATATTAGGTAAGATAATTAAGAAAAGCTGTTTTACCCGTTTTTTTTTTTTTGTTTTTACCCATAAATGTACAAATTTCCAAAAATCCCTCCTTAGTGGATCTATATAACCAAAAACACATCTACTGTCAAAATTGCATGATTCTAGGTTCAGCCGTTTGGGCTGTGCGATGATGAATCAGTCAGTCAGTAACGCTACTCTTTTATATATATAGATATGAATGTTTTTTTTGTCTATAGACCGATTTTCTTGACATTTTCGCATTTTAAACGTTTTGTTTTGAAATTTAAAGCAGATGATCACTTTAGGTGCCGATGGGGATGGTTATATACATATGTATGTATGTATTTGCCCTATATATTTAAAGAAATAGAATATAAATATAATGGAATGATTTATGTTATCCCCAAGGTAGCGAAGCACTCAGGGTATAGTTACTTGTTAATAACCATGTACATATGTGTGTTTATTTTGATTTGTTCGTAGTATAATTTGAATTTTTTTTTAATAATTACTGTAGGGTATCAAATGACCGATTGGGATTCTTAAAATAAACAAAAAAAAATTTTGTTTACTTTTATTAAATATGTATGTATATAAAAATCAGAATTCAGTAGAATTCGCATATAAACATTGATAACGAATGTAACAATTAGTGATGTAAACAATACGATTACTTAATAAGTAAAAGTTAATAACTTTATCTTTCATTATTGTCTTAGAAATACAGCGATGAAATTCGTCATAAGCAAGTTTTATACGAGCTAATAACTCCCCACTAAATTTTATGAGGCTCGGTCTATAATTGACCCCACTTCCCAAATAAGGTCCCCTTTCACAAAATGACTTTAACACTCATTACTAGCTTAAAAATAAGAGTAGATCTGTGAAATTCCACATAAACAAGTTTTATAGGAAATTAAATCTTTTTACTGGATTTGTTGAGGATCGGTCTATAACTAATCCAACCTTCCATAAACGGTTTTCTTCAGATATAAAATTCAGAATTCAGCAATGAAATTGTTGTATAAACCCATGAGGATAGGTCCATAATTGACTCTACCCCGCATATAACCACTCTTACAAAAAACCAGTTGGACAAAAACGATTTGTTTTAAAAATTTATATTTTATACTTTGGAAGAGCATGGTCCACAATTAAAGGCCCTCTTCCAAGTATATAAATTCATATTAATGTAGAACTATGATAGTAGATTAGAAAATTGTATCGATAATAACAAAAGCATTGATCCTTAAATATCAAAGTTTAACTATAAGGATGTATTCCATTTAGGCAATAATTTGATGGTGGGTATAAAAGATTCGGCTCAACCGAATATAACACTTTTACCTCTTTAAATTCATATGGGAGATACCACACCCATTACTGCTAGTCCGGCCAATTTCCCCCCCTAAATGTTCACATTGACATCAAAGTTGTTCGTGCAAAATTTGTGAATTCGAGCTTTATAGTTTCCCATTTATTATAATTTTTTCTATTTAACTCATATGGGAGGTGCCATGCCCTCCTAATGCTAAGTCGTCCAGTTTTCCTCTAAAAATTCACTTGAATGTCAAAGTTGTTCGAGCAAAATTTGAGCTCTAATACTTTTCTTGATTTTCGAATTTTTGCATTAAATTCGTAGTAGAGGTGGCATGCCACCCATTGTTAGTCCAGCCAATTTTAACGTAAATATTCATATTAATAGTAAATTTGAGTAATCAAGCAATTATATTCTCTTCGATATTCTAATTTAATATAATCGTTATAAGGGAGGTGCCGCGTCCACTAAATCCAGGTTTCCAATCAGTCAAGTGGTTGATGAAGGCCGGTGAAAAGTGTCCATGCACAAGCGAGCGAGCGAGCGAGCGAGCGAGCTAGGAGCGAGCGAGCGAGCGAGCGAGCGAGCGAGCGAGCGAGCGAGCGAGCGAGCGAGCGAGCGAGCGAGCGAGCGAGAGCGCGAGCGAGAGAGCGAGCGAGCGAGCGAGCGAGCGAGCGAGCGAGCGAGAGAGCGAGCGAGCGAGCGAGCGAGCGAGCGAGCGAGCGAGCGAGCGAGCGAGCGAGCGAGCGAGGAGCGAGCGAGCGAGCGAGCGAGCGAGCGAGCGAGCGAGCGAGCGAGCGAGCGAGCGAGCGAGCGAGCGAGCGAGCGAGCGAGCGAGCGAGAGAGCGAGCGAGGAGAGCGAGCGAGCGAGCGAGCGAGCGAGCGAGCGAGCGAGCGAGCGAGCGAGCGAGCGAGCGAGCGAGCGAGCGAGCGAGCGAGCGAGCGAGGAGCGAGCGAGCGAGCGAGCGAGAGAGCGAGAGAGCGAGCGAGCGAGCGAGCGAGCGAGCGAGCGAGCGAGCGAGCGAGCGAGCGAGCGAGCGAGGAGCGAGCGAGCGAGCGAGCGAGCGAGCGAGCGAGCGAGCGAGCGAGCGAGCGAGCGAGCGAGCGAGCGAGCGAGCGAGAGGCGAGCGAGCGAGCTGAGCAGGAGCGAGCGAAGCGTAGCGAGCGAGCGATCTATCTATTATCTATCTATCTATCTATCTATCTATCTATCATATCTATTCTATCTATCTATCTATCTACTATCTATCTATCTATCTATCTATCTATATATCTATCTATCTATCTATCTATCTATCTATCTATCTATCTATCTATCTATCTATCTATCTATCTATCTATCTATCTATCTATCTATCTATCTATCTATCTATATCTATGTATCTATCTATCTATCTATCTATCTATCTATCTATCTATCTATCTATCTATCTATCTATCTATCTATCTATCTATCTATCTATCTATCTATCTATCTATCTAATCTATCTATCTACCTTCAATTCATTTATTAATACACGAACAAAGATTATGCTGAATTGCAACGGTTATTTGAATATATTTGTTGAGCTTATTAAAGACTCTAACAGTGACTTATCAAACCAATCACTTAATTCAACACATCATCCATCTATTCAGATTTTAAACATGAAATGCTGATTAATTTCAGTTGTAATATTCACTCTCATATTCATTATCAATTTTTAGCTTATCAAAGATTTGCCACAACAAGCAAATAGGGAAATTTTTATTTATAAGCCTTCGATAATTTTAAAAAAGATTTCAGTGACTTACGGACATTAATCAAGAATAGTTCTTTTATTTGCTTTCCTTTTTAATAGGCCAGAAACTATAAAAAATCATTAAATTTACTTGATCAAATAAGACAATAATGAAATTCAAATTAGAGTTTTTATTGTGTTTTAGCATTTTATGTCTTATACAAATAATACATGTTCAAAGTGATTGTATAATAAAATATCCTAACAATACGGAAACCTCACCGATTTATAAGAAAATAGTTGGTAAATATATGGTGGAATTACCATATAATGGTAAAGATATACCATTAAATGAAGGTGAAACTATCCAGGCTGTATGTCGTACAAATTTTAGGTAAATATCGAAATTCCAACTTAAGATTCGCTTAAGCTTATACTTAATCTTGATAAATTTTCAGTTATATTTCTTATTATACACAAAGGCGTGATCGTTATGGTTATAGTAATCAGTACATAGAAGTTTTAAAGAATCAAACAACAATTTATCTACGGTGTCAAAACAACCAACTTTTCTTTAATAATACCCTATTGCAGGAAAAGATCTTGGAGTGTGAAAAATTAAATTGGAGCATTTACGATGCGAATGAAACGTATGAATGGTGCGATAAGAATCAGAATACTAAAACATTTTTACTCGCAGTAAAATCCAATCAAGATCATCATATATTGGCTGGTATTTGTTTTAATCTGAATAAATGGTCTTTGCACACACTCGTATATAATGTCAGCAATACTGAACAAAAGTTTAATATGGAAATGGTAAGCATTTCATTTGTGTATATTCTAGATCCTTATAGATAGCGGAGTCGATTAAACTTTGCCTGTATGTCTGCAAGTCTGTCTGTCGGTATGTTTGTTGAAATCAATTTTCAGAAGAATCCAGATGTCTGCGGAATTCAAATAATTCTAACAGATATACGTTTGTTGAGACAGCCGCCCAGTGACCGACTCCCTTCGATCCACATGATGGTCCCGTTGTGTTACCCGAAACCATTACATGTCCGAGTTTAACATGGAATCAAAGCAAAAGTGGGACACCAACTAGTGAACCATTTTTTGCTAGCTCATCCGTTTTGATATTCCCAGGGACATTAGAGTGACTCGGTACCCATGTCTAACAGACATGTCTTCGATAAATTTTCTATTTCAAATCAGCAAAATCGGCCCATTAATAACGGAGATATGAGCAAAATTATGGAAGACGATCTTGATGTTTCTGTTAAAAGAACAATAGGGTCCAAACGGCTTAACTGACATTAGTAACTCTTAGGTAAATCAAAATCTATATGCCGCATTTCAAAGCAATCCTTTCCTAACTGACCCTAACTGTCCTAACCCTAAAGTCCCTTTCAGATTGTGATTTTGACGCTCATAACTGACTTAAATATTATGGAATTTAATATTTTTATATGAACTGAAATCTCTGTACGATATATCTTAAGGAACGGTCTAAAACTTATCCTACTCACCAATTATTTCCTTTACAGAAAATCGGTTTAAGAATTAAAGTATTAAGAGTATTAAGAATTTGGCAATGATCTTATTAATATCGATATGTAATAATGTGTTATTGGAATATTATTTTCATTTCAGCTAAGAGATATAACAAAAACCGATTTGAAGTCGTATAAGTCTTTGGGTGACGATCTGTGGAACTTAAAAACTATAAAGAATTTTGATCTTCAGTAAGTGATCGTGTTTTATGTGGTTTTGAATTATGATTAAAAAGAAACTTCTTTTATTCTAGGGATAAAGAATTACAACTACAATTAACAGATATGAGTAAAACAAATCCCTGGCTTCACTTGGCCAATTATGAAATATCACCTATTGTCCAGGGCGTTTCATATGAACATTATTTTAATGAATATGTAAATATTTTAAATACAATCTGGTGGCGTAATTTACGTTTGGGCAATTGGAAATTATTTATGAACACTTTGAAAAATTATGCCTACAATAATAGTTTTCAATTATATGCAGGAACATCGGGTGAAGTTAGGATTCCTAGAAAAAATTTGTTGGATTATGATTTGCTGAAAATTAAGGTAATTTTGAAGATTTGGAATTACGCTTATAGAGACAGTTGCTTAATGTCATCTTTCAGAATGGTTATTTAAATAAAACCGTACCTGCTTACATCTGGTCTTATTTAACCTCAACCGATAATCAAAATGAAGATTTTATTATAGTCGGCTATAATTCACCCTATGCAGAGGTCGGCATACTATAGTGTATTATATTTTTTCCAATTTTTATATATAATTTCCCTTATAGTTTTTTAGCCTTAACGAAGTTGTATTCTGTCCCAATATCTGCTCTGAAATACCCTGGCTAAATGATATTCATTTATCATTTAATTATGCAACGGCTGGTATTATGTTCTGCTGTTCTACGGAATTTATGCAGAAGACAAATTATTTAACCGGATTTCCCATGGATGTTTTAATGGCACGTGCCCCGAAAGCGTTAAAAATAACAGAAATTTTGAATTCCTCCGAAAGTTTACTGAATGCAACTGAAACAAATCAAACTCTGAATGCTGGTATTGAACTTCAAACCGAAAGTTTATTGGAGCTGAAAGTTTTAGAAGAAGAATCATTAGATTTGATTAAGAATCAAAATTAAAAGAATTGTTATAAGATTTATTCGATTTCTATAAGAATCAACAATTAAAAGAATTTTAATACAAGTTATTGTCTTTGTCGGACCTTAGTATTTCTTGCTGTAAAATATATTAAACATTTTTATAAAATTTAAAACAATTAAGTGTATTTGAACGAATCCTAACGATTTTTTGTTAGAAGATTCCCTTAAACATTTCGTTTTTTGAACCCAAGCACAAAGCTCCTCTAGTCCTTCCGTCAGCCCTTAGAGTCTCCCCAAATGTTGTTATAACTGTCATCTTGTCCAATGTCAATACAGATTCCCTAATCATTCTCTGATATACTCGGGAGAAATTTAAGACCAAGACCAGATATAATAGTCCCATCGTCATCAACCAGGATTTTCACATTCCTAAATGTTCTATTATTCAGAAAAACATTACAAAGAAGATCCAACCAAATTTACGTTTTTGAACGGGATTATTGATATTCTGAATAATACTATCAAGATTTTTGACCTCTATTTTCGAAGTATTCTGTCTTCCAGGATCTTCACATATATGCTATGTGCGTCTGAGTCAATTCCATCAAGCCCTTTTTCTCAATAAACACCGTAGATGTCAAATTATTCATGGCGTTATTGAAGTCACTGTGTAATGCTCTGTTCACCTCGAACTTCCTAACTATCGGTAATTCACAAAAGTCTGTAAGATTCTGGGCCCTTTTTCTAGTGCACATTTAGGGATCGAATTATCCATGGCGCCATTTAAAGTTTTGTCCCAAATCGAACTTAGAAACATTTGTATCTATCGGTAATCCTCAGTCCGCAAAATTCTGGGTCAAAATTTACGAACATCAATAAAGTCCTAATGGAATTTTGTAGTACGTTCTAGCATCAGACTTTCCTCGATAGAGAAAATTATCTTCACAGACATACGGTCCAATTCATAGACCAGCATCCTAAGTCTATCTTTGTAAAGTCTACAGACATAAGGAAAATGTCATTAAAAGATGTCAAAATGGTATTCAGACTTGTCGGTCCTTAAGTCAAGATTAGTCAGTGTAAAGTCCTAAAGATTACGACTGGCCTCCCTAAGTCTCCCTATAACGGATGTCATCTCCATCTCCCACTGTCATAGATACATTGATATCATATCATAAAAACTAACCTTTTTATTGACCACAGGACAAACATTTTGAGAATCGGTTTCTTTTGCGGTGGAAAAATCAGTAACTTATTTCTTCTAATGCACAGATATCTATGCTATAACACATATGGTTTCACAATTTCCATGAGGAACTCATATGCGTGTGCCTATTGAAATTCCGTTAAGACCCAAACAGTTATAGCGGGAGTGCTGAAATATTGTCAACTGATAAGGTTTTGATATGATCATTATCGGTTCACTATTTGACATATTGATAAATTCTGAAAGAATAGTGATTTTTTGATGGTAGGTATATATAATTAGTTAAAACCGAATATAAATATATTTTTAATTGTTTGAATTTATTTGATTTTAATCTTAGGAAGTTCTGTGGTTAAAGACCTCATTTAAAAAAAAAATATATTTTTTGTTCATATACATTAATTGTCCAATTCACAATATAACGCCGATTGTGACTTGAACAAACATGTAATTTCTCATTTATACTGATAAGTATATAAAATTGCTTATAAAGCAAAAATACTTTTTAAATTTATTTGTACAAAACTTTGAGATATAAAACTTAAGAAATCAAAAAGTTTTCTGTATGTATAATATTTATACCCTACACTCTTAATTTTATAAACAAAAATAGGTAGACTGTTTATGCCATTATGTAACACATGGAAATATTGTTCGCAGACCATAATTGTCATACATGCATATTTAGAGATCTTATTAGATTCTAAAACGATCCAACTATATACGTCCGTATGTCTGTTGAAAGCATGTTAGTGTTCGAACAGCAAATATTGGTTCACGATTTCACCTAGTCCCAATAATATTAGACCAGTTGAATGATCATACTTGACGCTATAGTGACGATGTGGCATAACGATTATCAAAAAGTTCGATATATTAAACTCAATATGAAGATCAACCAAGTGTACGGTATTATACATAAAAACAATTTTATTTTAAAAAGTAAGTTCTAACATATAAGCTGAGTTCAGTTTCTTAAAAACCCTCTAATCGAAATGTTTAAAATAAACCTAAAACTTTTAATAATTATAAAATTATTATTAATTATCGATAATTTGTCAAGCGCTCAAGGTAATTGTGAAGTATATGTTTCGGGAGATTCGCAGTTAATTCCAAAATTTGAAAGGATAATAGACAACATTAAACTGCAAGTAAATATTACAAATGATAAATTTGAAATTGGTAATGGCGAAAGTGTGACAGGTTCCTGCGAGACATATTTTGGGTAAGATCGAATTATTTCATCCATTTTTTTTCATACATATTTCGCCCAAAGGAATGATATGAATTCTTAATGCCAAGAGAAAGGAGTTTGAGAGCCGTTAGACAAAAGTCTTGGTTTAATCAGAATCGAGATCTTCATGTTACTAAGGCACAAAAAAGCTTTATACGAACCAGTGTACTAAGGTTCTTACTGCTCCCCGGTATAGAAGTCCAGTGCTTTAATAAAAAGCCACCTACGTGTAAAGAACACCAGAGCACTTCGCATTTATCCGACACATTCATTGAAAAAAAAAAAAACATCCGAAACATTTATTATAGGTATAAGGGAGCAGTGGGGCCACCATACCTCTTCGTTGATTCCGTATCATATTCACTTGACACCAACCCTACTCTGAGGAGTATCTGTTGTCTTTCCGACAACAGCAGTGAACTTATCCCGAAATATAGATTTCACCCTGTATCAGTCTTTTGAATAGCATTCTCTTCCCGCGATTTTCAGTTTAAACCACATGCATCCCGAAGGCACCTCTGCAATAATCGGGACAAGACGAAGATAAATTCTCTGGTTTGACCCCAGGTCAAATAATTATAAATAAAGGTCGAGGATACATTGGTATCCTCGTCAGACTAGAGGTACTGGAGGAGGTTATTAATCGATGTATCATGATCCGGAGGTTGCTCTCCCGGTCATTAAAATCTACCGGTCATACTTCTTCAATTCCGACTCTTAATAAAATAAGCAATAACCGACCCTATTGATATAGCTAATTTTTTAACTGAATTATTCTCAAGTAATACTTGCCTGCCGAAAAGCAATCAAGTACTGTCCTAAAGGGGTATTAACGAATCTTCACATAAACAAGTCTTCGGCGAAAGATGTCAAGTAGTGTTTTCGTCCGTTGAATTTCTTGCATTCTGAATGATTGCTAATGTAACATCAATCCCCAGGGAGAGACTTATAAGTGTGAAAATTATCGCCCTAAAGCAATTTGTTTCATCCACCATTATGGCGAAAATAAAGCGATGGCTCTGGTTATCTACAAAATGTTTGACAGGGTGTGACAAAGTATATTTTTCATCAAAACTAATTGTTTTTGGGCCGGTAATTACTTCACTCGATTTATATTGAGCTTTATCGGGGATCGCTCTATACATGTTATATATCCCTTTTTATAATATTTTTACCATTTACAGATCACTAGAAAATGGATTCATAGGATTTTATGACCCCTTATATTTTAATCAAATACAATCGTTAGAATTATCTTGTAAGGAAGACAATTTATTCTACAAGCACATGCAAGTCCATAGACCACATTTTGAGTGCCTTCAAACTTATTGGGATATTGTATATAATAATAAAAAAAAAAATTCCTGGTGTAAAAATTCGACTTCTTTATTGTTATTATCGAAAATAAATAAAGGTGATATATCTTTTGCTGAAATATGCTACGACTTGGAAAAGGTTTCTCTTCAAAATATACGTTATACAGTACAAAATAACCGAAAAACTTATTCAGAAATGGTAAGTTAGTCTGATATAAACATTAATATGTTTTAATATAATATTTTCCGATTTTAATATAAGCTGAACAACATGGAATTTATATATCCAAGTTTGAATTCTTTTGGTCTTTTGGATGATTTACAACTTTTAAAAACAACCAAATCTGTAGTAATAAAGTAAGTTCGAGATTTATACATTAAAAAATATATATATATAATATTTAAATTTAAATTTTCAGTAATAATTTATTACAACAACAATTTATTAATTTATATGAATTAAATCCGCTATTATCATTTGCCAACTACGTGGTGTCGTCCATTGTTCAGGGTTATTCGTATGCGAAATATTTTAAGGAATATAATGCATTTTTGAATATTATATGGTGAAGGAATTTACGTTTGGGAAATTGGAAAATGTTTATTAATACTTTGGAAAACTATGCTCACAACAATAGATTTGAAATGTATACCGGGACATCAGGCATAGCAGAACTTCCGATTAATTTAACAGAGAAGCAAAGTAAAAAACTTGAATTGGAGGTAAATAAATCAGGGAACAAACACGTATGCGTTAATTCGGCCTCAGAATCTTTGTATTTCGTATAAATATATCTTATTTATATTTTTTTGAATTTTTTTTACTTACTGCAGATTGATATGAAAATTGTTACTGTACCGGCCTATATATGGTCTTATGTTAGATCCAATGATGATAATAATAAAGATTTTATCATTGTTGGTTACAATTCTCCATATGCAGAGGTAAATAATATAAATATTTTTCACCTTTTTACCAAATAAAACTTAAAAACTTTCTTTTAATCTTTAGTTCTTTTCGTTGGATCGTATAATTTTCTGTCCCGATATCTGTGCAGACATACCCTGGCTAAAGAACGTATACACCTCGTTCCGTTATACATTTGCTGGCATTATGTTTTGTTGCTCACCGGATTTCATTAAGAAAAATAATCTTCTAGAGGGATTTCCAATTGATGTTCTTATTGCAGGTTGAGTGGAAAACTAGCTAGATTGATAAAATTGATATGTATAATCTGGCCAATTTTAATATTCAAAATTACTTGTTTTATAAATATATTGAAATTGTTGTATCTGGCAATTCTCGGGATTTTAAATAAGATTAATCTACAATACAATTCCTTAAAAAGAAACTGTATGTTTTTCAAACTGTTTCAATATTTTCCTCTCAGGATTGACTTTCACTATTAATTTTAGTGATTTTATAAAGCTACAGGCATTTGGAACAATGGAACGATAGTTAGAACCCCTATAATTCTATGAGGTCTAAGGAGAGGAAGACGTGAAACCTCCTTAGGAAGACTTATTTGAAAACGAAAAAGAACCAAAAAGTTTACTCCTATTAATTGTCATTCCATCAGGATTCTATATGTATGATTTTGAATGATCAAAAAAGTACCATTTAAAAGATGAAACAAGTTAGAGTGCTATATTCGGCTATGCCGAATTTTAAATATCCTCCACCAGCAAGCTACTTTTTACTAAAACCCATTTAACTATCTAATCTTTAGATAACTTGGCAAAATTTTTGTTTCCTTATTGAGGGTACTAACATTTATGCATATGTCAAACTAATTTTAATTAGGTCCAGAAAAATTTATGATTTATCTATACACAGAACATACTCATTTCGAATTTTATCCGTATGTTTATAAACATTTAATAACGAATTAAGTGGTATTATGCGATTTTAAGAAGTACACCTTATATGGGAGCTAGGACAACCTATGGACCGATCCGGAAAAGAATTCCGTAAAATGATTTATATATACAAAATACACATTTATGTCGAATTTTATTCCGATAATTTTATTTGTCAATGTGCATTTAAGTAATTTTCGGAAATGGTCCTTTTATGGGAGTTGTGATCAATTATCGACCGAAAAGGAAAAAATTCAAGTCGAATTTTACTAGATTTATTAATTAATGAAATATGTGCGTTTAGGTGATTTTCGGAAGTGGACTTTATATGTATAGGAGCTATGACCAATTACTGACCTATCCGAAAAAAAAACGTAGATTGATTCATATGTACACAAAACATATTTGTGTCGAATTTTATCAAGATATCTTTATTTGATAACGATATATGTGCGTTTAAGTGATTTTTTTTTGAAGTGGACCTTATATAGAAGCTATTACCATATATGGACCGATCCGGAAAAAATTTCGTAAAATGATTTATATGCTCACAAAACATATTCAAGTCGTACTTTATCCCGATAGCTTTACTATTCAAAGAAATATATGTGTTTAAGAGATTTTCGTAAGTGTACCTTATATGGAAGCCTATCCGGAAAAAATTTCGTAGAGTAATTGATATAAAGACAGAACATGCTTGTGACGAATTTTATCAAGATAACTTTATTTGACAATGAAATAGGTACGTTTAAGTGATTCGGAAGTGGGACGTATATGGGAGCTATGACCAATAATGGACCGATCCGGGAAAAAAGCGATAGAATGATTTATATGTATACAAAACATATTCAAGTCGAATTTTATTCTTATAGCTTCAGAATTTAATGAAATATATGCGTTTAAGTGATTTTCGGAAGTGGACCTTATATGGGAGCTATAACCAATTATGTGCCTATCCGGAAAAAAACTTCGTATAGTGATTCATTTAAAGACAAAACATATTTGTGTCGAATTTCATTAAGATAGCTTTATTTGACAATGAAATATGTGTTTTTAAGTGATTTTCGGAAGTGGGCCTTATATGAGAGTTATGACCAATAATGGACCGATCCATAAAAAATTTGATAGAATGATTAGTATGTACACAAAACATATTCAACTCGAATTTTATCACAATAGCTTTATTTATTAATGAAATATGTGCGTTTAGGTGATTTTCGGAAGTGGACCTTAATGGGAGCTATGACCAATTGTGGACCGACTGAGATAAACGTTGATAGTATGATTTCAGTTCATATTATATTTGCATGTGCAAAATTTTGTGTTGATACCGATATATTTGAGGGTGTTATTAATGATAAACTAATTTCCGAGAATATATACCTTTATATGGGGGCTATGAGAAATATTGGAGCGATTGTAAAGATTTTGAACATAATTGATCACTGTCTTAAAAAAGTGATGTGTAACAAATTTCATCGAAATATCTTTGATAGTTTCTGAGAACGGACATAGCTAAATCGACTCAGAATTTCATAAGGACCCAGAATATATATACGTTGTTGATATTACATACGGAACGACAAACTTATATATACCCTCTATCACCACTGATGGTGGTGGAGGGTATAAAAATACGAGAAACTGTCTTTTTATAAATTTTAATTCAATCAGTATGCTGGATATTCCAACAAATTTTGAGAATGAAAGTACGTACTTCAGCAACTATGAAAATAAAACGATGAAGTCGCTCATTCATTCTCGAAACATGTCAGAGTTTATGTAAAATGAGTTTAAGTAAAATGCCTATCACAGAATTCGATTCCGATCGAATGTGGAATTATGACTAAGTAAGCAAATTGATTTGATTGAGGCTTAGTGTGAGGACTAGGTTTATAAATGAACCGATTCCGATAAAGTTTTAAGGATTTATGTTTATATGTCAGAAAGTTGGAATTTCATGACGATATATAGGTTCTACACATTTCCAGAAGAAGACTCTGTATGGGGGGATGATTTCAAAAATCGGCAATATCATATATATCACATATATAAATTTATAATCGGACATACCCAAGGCTAATATGACGTAAATATCCTCAGTAAACTTCTAGTTAATTTAGTTATGATATCAAGATTTATTTTATGTAAAAAAAAAAAAGATTTCTTTGGGAATATATAAAATTTGTATATGATCCGGAAAGAGACAAGCGTGACAAAGCGGACACTATCTCCACAAATTTGTTCAATTTTGAAATAAAAAATATTTGGTTTAATATTAAAAAAGTAAAAATTGAAGAACGGAAAGGTACCATAGAAATCACTCTTATAGATTTTCAATACATCAGGATATATGTATGTATGTCTGATTATATGTTTCTAGATTCCATATTGCATAAAAACCAAAAAGTACCAGTAAAAGAACGAAAAAAGTACCAAAAATCCTTTCCTGCAAATTATCGTTTACTTAAGACTCATTACTTCCCGATTCTACATGTTTAATTTTATGTTTCTAGGTTCAATATTATAGGAATTTCAAAAGGTTTTATGGGCTCTACGGGCGTTCTTCCCGAACGCATGTCTGATTGAATTATTGATGATTCAGATTTCGCAGATATCTGGGATCTTCTGAAAACTGTTTTCAACATAGTCCCACACAGACAGACGCATAGACGCACATGGCTAAATCGACTCCGCTATCTATAAGGACTCGGAATAGTTATACTTTATAGGATCGGAATATTATATTATAGAAATTACAAATGGAATGACAATCTTATATATACCCGCCTCACGTTATCCACCCCCCCCCCGGAGGGAATGTTTCCTTGAAATGTACCATTTGGATACTTGTATCTGATGGACGAGAGGTATCTGTGGAGATGACGGAATGACAGAACGGAAGACGGTCGAAATGTTGGTGAAATTAGTTGAGACGTTGTGGAGATGTAATACCTTAATCATTAAATCACCCATTTTCTTCATGGTTGAGTGTATTGGAGTTTACTCTAAACATGCTCGACTTATCACAGTAGGTCCTTGTGTCAACTGAAATAAATCTGGCTAATTGAATATAGATCTGTGTTTCGGACTACCAATTACGGGACAGAGCATTTCTCATAACATCAATAGGGTGTTTTCAACTGATGTTGGGTCGCCCCTTCTATCGACTCTAGCCATTGATTGCCTTTTCCCTTGTCGAGGCTAGATTGAGCTTGACTCATGCCACCTGTCATTCCCCAACGGGACTACTATGGCGACAGATTAGATAGCTCGAGCAAAGTGCACGTATACTGGACCGGAAATTCCATATACGGTGGTGAGTTGTTGCAAAAGCTCACCCAGTGGTTAAAAATACCACCACGACAGGTGTTCACGTAAAGCACTTCGACCCTCCTCACAAAGGTGAAGGGTATAAAAATATAACTATATACATAGTTCCGAAGAAAGTATTACAACAAATGACAAATTTATTCTGCAATGATGCCGGACTATGTATGTAAATGTTAACAGTGATCCTCCAAAAGTGTTGATATGAATCAAATATTTTTAAAACTTAACAATGTACACAGTTCAGATTTGTACGTTTTTATATGGTGTGTATCACTGTAAAGCTTTTAAAATACTTGGAATTAAACAAAGTAGACCGAATCAATTTTGAAAAATAAAACATAGATTTAAATTCACAAGAATGGACTAACACCCATTAGGAAGTTCGTTTGATGAATTTTCTTAAAGTTAACATGAATAAAAGTGCGTACTTCAGCAGCTATTAAAAAAACATAACGATGAAGATGCCCTTTTATTCTCGAAACTAAGAAGTTGAATCACTATAAACTGTCCGAAATAGCTGCCGTTTGGACTTGCCCTATGGACTTGAATCATTTATTCAACCGAACTGAAAACTAACACAACTATAAAATTATTTAACAAAATTTTTTCTTCAGATTTGTCGATGTTAAAATCCTAGAAAGCTGCACTGACTTTGCAACTTGATATAAAAATCAAAATCAATGTTGGCTTTCAAGGGATTTGAACACACACGTTTTAATTGTCAGAAAATATGTTAAAAGTTTTTTTTTAGTTTGCTCCTCATAATTAAACTTTTTTTTTAGGAACCACTTTGTTAAGCTTTAAATTATCGAGCACCGTTGTCTATTAAATTCAAAATTTGACTGACTTGTCAGTCGACTTGATCATTTCTACAAATTGCAGAAATGGGCGTTATCAAAAATCGAATTTCATTTAAAAAAAAAAAAAACTCATCATCAAATGCACTCATATTTTTGTATTTACACTCAAAAGTTTGTATCTAAATACATATATGGAAAAGATCAATATTAATTTTATAATAATGCCCCTTTGTAATATAACAATCAGCTTAGAATCATTATATGAGTCTTTTCTAAGTCATTATAAATTTAATGTCCTCTCCACATT